CTCGTAATTATGGCCAGAGCACGGGCCCTGGTCGGGCCCGTCAGTCCATCAGCCAGCCATCGCTTTTATCAGCGCTCTACGTTTCCACTTACATAATCAGAAAAATACAACAACAAAAACAACAGAAAAGATGAAAAACACGTTGGAAAATCGCTCTCTGTGCTCGTACGTGCGTGCGTGTGTGTGTATGTGTGGGTGCGCTTGTGCTTTTCTCTGTTTGTGAAGTTGGAAAATTTAAATTCCATCAAAAGCAGCGGCAGCAAAAGCAGAAACAGAAACATCAGCGACAGCGACAGAGACAGAGAGAGAGAGAAACAATCATGATAATTAAATTGGGTTCACTGAGGCGTATACTTAACATTAAACCCAAACCCAAAAGCAAACAAATAAAAAAGTAAAAACCAAAAGACAAGCAACGCCAAAAGCAGTGGCAGAACCAAAAGGCAAAAGTAAACGCAGGATGAAAGCCAAAGGCAATTTTTGGTAGCAAGGGTAAAGCGACAACTGGACGACTGCAACTGCAAACCCAAATCCAAATCCAAAACCATGAAGAAAATCCAAAAAGCAAATCAAATCCAAAATCATCTCTCGTCAACACAAAATTCTCCTCGGCTCTCAGTCGCTTCTACGTCAACGTCAGCATCCCCCACTGCCTGCGTCTCAGTCACCGTCTCCATCACCGTCTCCGGTTTGTCGACGCCTCAGGAAAACACACACAGAAAAAATATAAGAAAAACGAACAAAAAAATGCTTTAAAATAAAAAAAACGAACCTTCAACTGCCAAACAGCAGCAGAATCAGCAGAAGTGTTGGCTAAGGGGGCGCATTTCCTCCACTGGGTAGTGGGAGTGGGATGGAGGAGAAATGGTTCGAAGCGGAACAAAAAAATTATATAGGTTAGCCCTAGCCTTCGCATCCCTATCCTCAATTGGAACTCGTGCTATATACTAGGGATCCAGAGAGAGAAAAAGAGAGCGGACGAGAGAGTTTCGCAAGAGAACGGTAGAGGAATGCAAATGTGGGGCGAACTCCCACGCAGTCGGAAGCCCACCGACAACAGAGAAAGATGTCGGAAATGTTTTTAAGGAAAGTGCGGAATACTCTTAAAGAATATATAGAATGGATTTATGTACTTCCAAGCGAAAAATGGTAAATAAACATAGACAGTTGATAAATAAGCTTACATTAATATGGATTAATGTGACAGAATGCTTAAGTCAAAATACATTTACTGTTCATTCTCCCAAAAACGTATTAGATTTAACTAATTTTTGGTATTTAAGCACAAAACACCCAAAACTGTAATTGTTCCAAATAGGAGTTCCAAATATTTACTTTTGTGAAGACCACAGGATTCCACACACTCAACCCAAAAAGTACAAAATCGTAGAGAATCCCCAAACAAAAACATTCTCGGAAAACATTCACCCCACTTTTAATATACAAAGAGAGAGAGAGAGAGAGAGAGAGTTTGTGTGTGTGTGCTATAGCCATTCCCTTTACTGTTATCAATTAAATGACTCTTCATTACCGCCTCCCTTTGGGGTCGTCTAATCAATTCCCACAGGCGTGCGACCCTAACCCCGGTAATAGGGCAACACCGAAAATCAAAGCCACTTTTTGTGCTCCTAAGTGCAAAAATCAAACACACAACCCCCAAAGAGACCACTCGCACGACACTCTCTCTCTCTCTCTTGCTCTCACTGTGAATAAATCTTTCGTTCTCTATTTCACTCTTTCATATCTTCCTCTCTCTTAGCAGCTCTTCGTGTGCATTATTTATTGCTCTTATACAGGCAGTCTGCTCCACTGTCAGTGTCAGTCCGTCCTCCACAGCGTTCTCTCTCTTCAACTACCCTCTCTCTGGGGCTCACTCTTTCTCTCGCTCTCTGTTGTATAGGCCATGTGCGTGGGACCCGTTAACTAGTAAACCAGCAACCTATAATGGCTCCTCTTCCGTGTTGTTATCCCAATCCCTGTCCCCCGGACCTTATCCGTGTCCCTAAGCGTATCCTGTTGGAGCATGAGCACCAGCTGCCATGCTGTCTCCCTCCATCGGTGTCTCTCTTTCGCCCCGTCGCTGTCTATTAACGTTGTTTGTTTTGCTTTGGGCCTGGTTGTATAATAAATAACTTTGAAATAAATCAAATCAGAAATAGCCAAAACGGACACATGTTAAATGGACCGAGAAATGTAAGCGGGAGGCGCGCACACACGTTCACCAACCATCCATCCATCGCATCCATCGCTCACGAAACATCTTTTTATTGGGTCACCCGTTCGTCCGCCCGGCGGATGGGCGGAATGGAGGGGCAGGGGCTGTGGCGCGATGCGGAGCTGCTGGTGACCTTAAAACGCATTAGCAGTCGGCCAGGCCAAGTCGTAATAATTTTATTGGCAAACATCAAAAAGGAGAGAAGGAAAACCGAAATAAAAGCTAACCAACCATTCCGTCTGGCTAACTGTTTTGAAAGGTGTTGGCTCCAATTTCGGTTTTATTCAGAATTTCAAAATTCAAATAACGAACACACTACATTGGCAGTTGGGAAAGGGAGAGAGGCGAGCGGATAGCAAACAGCGAACGGCAGAGAGCGCCGCGACAAGTGCAGGCGTGCTCAAGGTAAAATCGCGGCAGCGCAGTCACGTCGTTGTCGACAGAGTGCAAGATCAAGTGAAGCGAGTGAGTAGTGACCGAAAATGCACGAGAGAGGGAGAGCGAATGTTCAGCAAGAGAGCAGACGACCATTTGACAAAACGTTACGCAGTGATGTTCCAGCAGCTACTCATTAGTGCTTACTAATGAATGGAAATACATATTAATCGAACAAATTTCTGAACTAAATTATAAAAAAAAGTATTAAATAAATAATAATTCCGCGTTTCCTGTCAAAGTAATTTCAATCTCCATAATTCAGCCAATTATATTATGTTCCTATCTTTCACACAATTTAATGTGCATATACTCCACACAATTACAGGGTACTTGAGCCATTCGCGCGGGTGACAATCAGACAACTTCTCTTCCCCTCCCTCTCTCAAACACACACACTCGCACCCTCTTTTTTTAGGCATTTGGTAGGCGATGCTGTTTAGGCCGCCTTGCGTCAAGTGTTGACGGCCAAAAGAGCAGCGCCTAAGGCAACGGCAGCCACAGAGGCAGTGGCGCAGCTGCGACTAGATAAAAAGAACAAATTGACTAAGCACGAAACACGTTTTAGTCAGACCAGAGACCAGAGAGTTAGCCAGACTCTAAGCCAGAGACGGAGCCAGAGACAGAGTTGGAGCGCGTTTGACATAGTGACCCAATTCCGGGTTTCGATTTTCTGGTTTTTCTTAAGAATACACGTTTTCCGCTTAAATGAACACACACACGCACCCACAAAGAGAGTGTGAAGGAGAGAGACAGAAGGAAAACGAGTTGAGAATTTTTCGCCCGGAATCTCTGAGTTTTCAAAGCAGTGACATTTACCCCCATCCTTTTTTTACCCCTCTTTACACACTTACCGTTATTTACGGCTGGCCGCTACGTCCTTCCCTGGGCACGAAGATGTTTTTGACTTTATTGCTGTTTTTCTCATCTATTTAACACACCCGTTCGCGTTCACGTTCACGGTACACATTACGCTAGGTTCGGTTGCTGGTACGGTTATTCAATCGCGTCGATACGTGGATTTAACGGACGATTTGTGGGTTTGTTCTATTACTTTTTACTAATCTGGTGGTGTTTTCATTTATTGTTGTATTATTTGTGGTGTTCCGATATTTAGTTTGAATTATTATTTACTTGACTTGACTATTTTTTCACTAGAGAACTTACTTCCTAGCAATCACAACTAGAAATGAGACTGAGACGGGCCCCCGCTCCAAGTGGAAATTGAAAAACTAACGCGCCGACTACTCTGTGTGTATGTTTTTTCTCTGTTTTCAGTGTGTTTCTCTGTTTTGTGTGGCACGGCACAAACATGTGTGGCACAGTCCGTCGGCGGAGGGGCAAGGCAGGCGGCGAGGCAGGCAAACTAGAGGAAAGGAAAACCAACCGATCGACCTAAAAAAACACAGCACGTTACGATTTTCCGCGCAAAACTTCTCTTCTACCAAATAGTTGAACGTTTTGAAGCTGCTGCTGATGCGGTGATGTAACACAGCTGGGGTTTCGTGCGGCTCGCGGAACTTTGACTAAAGCGGCACTGCAATATAGCTGTTATGTATTGGTATTATTCTGGTGGAAATTCGGTGGATTCGGTGGAAGGTCTGCTCATGGTAGAGTCATTGAAAAGGTCCGGCACACTCGCTCTTTGGGGGGCCTATTCTGTTTTCAACCCTCTCTCTCACACTCTCTCGCTCTCTTTGTGACAATCTTCACACCTTTTTGTTGCTTACCATGGATGTAAAGAGAGTTTTTCGTTGCAAGCAGTGATGCCGAGTTTGTGGTGAAAAATAGCTGCTTTTGGAGAATAGCGGAATGTAGGTTAACTGATCTATCCGCTAGTCATTGGCGACAGCCAATGCGCTGGCCTCAAAGATCACAAGATGAAGCTTCTTCTTAGCGAGTTACTCTCGCATTTGGATTTTATAGCCAACTTAATACTTTTTAATAACTTTTATAGGCTAACTTAACAATCGAACTTGAACATAGTCAGATCTAGCCTTAAAATGCTGCCTCCCGCGCAAAACTGTACCGCCATCACTGAATGTTTCGAGTGTGACCGTTCTGTAGAGCTGCACAAACGCCAATTTTGTAAAGATTAACCCATTTAGAGATGATGGTTGCACAAAATATTAACAATTGTATTCCAAAAACTTAACAAAATGTTAGCAAAAATGGCATTTTGCTGCTTTAATAAAAATGCTATTTCTCAGGTATACTGGCAGGTTCATTTTTCTTACAAAATCAACTTCAAAAAAGTGTAATCAAAGCCATCCTTGCATTTAATGGGTTAAATTGAAATTTTTTCTTGAAAATTTATTGATTTTTACTTGTTGCTGAGTGGTGGTGCTGTTTCTGAGTTGTTTTTCGAAAAAAGCTGCTGCTGCAAAAGCTCGTTCTCGACGCCAATAAATTGCGATTACCGGTAGAACGGGTCTCCACCTTGCGAGCGTTCAAAAACCCCCAGAGCAGCGCTTTGAGTCATAACTTATCTGGAGCTCAGCCGCAAAATTGTTTTTCGACTTTTCTCAATTCATTTTGAACCGTAAAACTGGCAGCACGCATCATGTCCGCAGGCCGAGTCGTCATCTACGGTGGCAAGGGAGCACTGGGCTCCGCATGTGTCGATCACTTCAAAGCCAACAACTACGTGAGTATCCGCGGCCGTCGCCGTCGCCGCCTTTCACCTGCAATCCACGAGGTTTAATTGTTTCATTGTTTCTTGGGCAACCTTCGTCATGCAACGCGCAGTGGGTCGGCAGCATTGACTTGAGCGAGAACGACAAGGCCGATGTGAGCATTGTGGTGCCACGCGATGGCAGCTGGTCCGAGCAGGAGGCCATGGTGGTGGGCAAAGTGGGAGAATCGCTCGCTGGCGAGAAGCTGGATGCCGTGATCTGCGTGGCCGGCGGCTGGGCTGGCGGCAATGCCAAGAAGGATCTGGCCAAGAACGCCGAACTCATGTGGAAGCAGAGCGTGTGGACATCCAGCATCTCGGCGGCCGTTGCCGCTCAGCATTTGAAGGAGTGCGGACTCTTGGCTCTGACTGGCGCCAAGCCTGCCTTGGAGGGCACTCCCGGCATGATTGGCTATGGCATGGCTAAGGCGGCTGTCCATCAGCTCACACGTTCGCTTGCTGGCTCGAATTCTGGTCTGCCAGGCGGCTCCCTGGTTGTCTCCATCCTGCCCGTGACCCTGGACACGCCCATGAACCGCAAATGGATGCCAGACGCAGACCATGGCACTTGGACACCCCTCACGGAGGTGGCTGGTCTGCTCCTCAACTGGACTAAGGTCCAGGAGCGCCCAAAGAATGGCTCCCTACTCCAGCTGATCACCAAGAGCGGCACCACCGAGCTGATAGCCGCAGAGTAGGAAGGAAAACCAACCCAATCCCCCCTTACACTGATGACTGCTCAAAACATAATCTCAATGCTTTCGCTTGTACATAAACTATGAATAAATCGCTTGGCGGCTTTCGATCGTTTAATGTGGATCTGTAAACATTTGGGGGTAATACACACGGGGACTCGGATAACCTTTTGAACTCTGGTAGAGCTCGGGGAATGAACGAACTAAAGCTTTTTTCATAATGATATAAAGACAGACAGGCAAGAGCTTCTTGAGACTTGAGGTTTGGGTCTAGGAAGCAGTCTACGTCTTCTTTTTCTTCATGATTTTCATAAAGAACACCATGCCTGGGGAGGGAAACAAATAGAGAGGTTAGTTATGGACTTGGACTTTCATTTGTTAAATGACTCACCAACAAATGTACAAAACACAAAGACAAACAACATCCAGGCCCAGCATTTGTAGGCACTGCGCGAGTGCTGCTCGAGTTTTTCGGCCTCCTTGCCGAGCGAATTGATGTTGCGATCGGCCATGCCAGCGGATTGGGTCACCATTTCGGTGTCACGTTTTATAATCCGATTTGCCGTCATTGTCTGCTCCTTGAGGTTACGCGTTAGCGAGAGCATGTGCTCCGTGATCTTCTCCTGCTTCTGATTGTAATACTTGACAGCCTCGTTCATGTTGTCGCCCTCAGTGGCCGGGTTGTTGGAGCTGCCGCTGGGACTGCCACTGCCGCTGGCGTCCTCGTCAGCGCCACGTCGGCGTCGCACTGCATCGCCATCTACTAATAAATGGAGGATGATGAGTCATTGCTTGGTGCACCTCTGGGGCCTTAAGTCAATCCTCTTACCCGCCAGCAGATCCTTCCGCATATCGTTGTAGTTTTTTGTGCTCTCGATCTGCTGCATCTCCTTCAGGGACACTTCCCCCGCCTCGCTGGCATTCATTTGTATTTTGGTGCTTTCCGTGTAGCCGGTGGTCAGCTTGAGGGCCTGCAGGCGCTCTATGTACCCGGAGATCCTGGGCACGCTCCGCGGGTCGTCCATGGCCTGCAGTTCGGCGACCATTATGTCCAGCGCTTTGATGAACTTCTGCAGGCGCCAGAAGTTCTCCTCGCTCTTGGCCAGCTCCTCGCAGTTGCTCAGCACTGTGCGGATGTTTACATTTAGCTTCGTGGCCATTTTTCAGGCAAAAACATAAAAAATAACAAATTATTCCTATTTATAGCTTCTATCGATAGGTATCGGTATTTGGTCAGCTGTTTTTGCTTGTGTAGAATTAATGTAAATAAGCGGCCAAAATTCCGATGCACATGCAACTCTGTGTAGTTGCTGTGTAGCAAAATGCAAACCATTTGTCGAATTTTAAATCGTTTTTGTTTAAATATTTCTTAAAAAAAAAGCAATGCCAATTAGTCATTTAAAAATAGAATGAATAGAATCTAATGAAAATTTGATTAGATTATTACAAAAATTAGTTGTTCGTTAAGAACCGCTGCGGCAAAGCACTCATAGCATAGAATGTGCACGAAGATTTATTCAGCGGGGGGTATTTATATTTCTACCAAAACCTTATCAATAAAAACCTCTTAACCAATATCAGAAATTATCAATTAAACCTTCGCGATAGCCCATGAGGGTGGTAGGCACATATTTTTGGAAACAGTTGCCGCGTGCCCCGCGTTAAGATCTGATTTGTCAGGTAATATTCGATGGCAAAGCAATTTCCTTGACTCAAAAGTGTTTGAGAGAGGGAACGGTCGCGACGTTATCAAGCAGCTGACAGCGTTAACCTTTTCGGCAAAAACAAACCCAGCCCGCGCGCTCTCTCTCCCGCGCATGTGCTGGCCCCTGTTTTTGTTAACAGATTTATATGGCTATGAATGAAGGTAAGCCAAAAATCGTACGCGCTAAAGTTTCTCTCTCTCTCCCAGCACCAACTAACGCTCTCACTTGGGGCTCTCTCTCTCTCTCCATCTCTGTCTCTCCCCTGCTCTCACACTCCTGCGCAGCAGCAGCTAACGGTTAATAGCAAACGAAAAAACGACGAAAATCGAAATCGATAAGTAAGCCACGGACCGCAGCCACCAGAGAAAAAGTGCTTTAAATTCTATAAAAACCAATCAGAGAAAGCAAAAAACTCAACAAACTGCTGACCAAAAGATCAACCTTCACGGGCAATGTCCAAGAAAAGTGTTAGCATGGCGTTTTATCAGTTGAAATTGTAGTCTACACATTTGGTACACAGTCTGCGAGCCAGAGAAATCGATACACCCGAAACAGGGGGCTGGTGTGTCCCTGTGCCTGTGCCCTGTGCGTGGGTGCTGCTGTTCCGCTGAAAAATTACCATCTAACTGTAGAGACTTTAGCTGCGAAGCGAAAAAGCTTTGCAACCTTCAGCCACACGAAAATATTTGTTACATAAACTATAGAGAATCCATTAATAGCTTGAACCTCACATCACATTATCACCCGTTCGTTTTTGCAGCAACTGCTTGTGGTAATGTAAGGCGCTTTGATTGGAGCTCGCAAAGAACAGAAAGAATTGGCTTGGTAAAAGCGTAAAGCGAGAGTGCGTAGAGTGATTCGATAGCCATAGCCATAGTAGACCAAGCCCCCAAAATGCAGCCACCGCCGCGTAAGGTAAAGCCTTTTAGAGAACATCCTCCATGCCATTATAGAAGTATTCGCCACACACACACTAAATTCTTGTGTCCCACAGGGTAACTATGTGAAGTTCTTGAAGAATCTGCACACGGAGCAGGTGGCCAAGTTGCAGCTGAAGAACCAGCATGAGTGCGACCTGCTGGAGGACATAAGACAGTTCACCATCAAGCGATCGGCCATCGAGAAGTCGTATAGCGAGGCCCTCCTGAAGATCTCGTCGCAGTATCTCAACAAGAAGATACCCAACATTCCAGACATCAAAATGGAGGGCATGGAAGAGCGTTGGTAAGTGATGCAACCCCAATGGAATTCCCATTTGAATGTGACACTGTTGTACCCCCAGGAACATGTGGAGTGTGTGGCGCACAGTTCTCGAGGAGAATGAGAAGTTGGCACGTGCCCGCTTGGCTGCCATCGAGGTGTTCCAGCAGCAGATAGCCGATGAGGCCAAGGTTCTTAGGGACTACAAAGTGGCCATTGCCAAGCGTTCGCTATCAGGCATTGTGAACGTGCAGAAGGAACTCCATTTGAGTGTGGGCGATGTGGACAAGACGAAGAAGTCGTATTTCGACGAGGAGCACTGCGCCCACGATGTTCGCGACAAGGCTCGCGACATTGAGGAGAAGCTGAAGAAGAAAAAGGGCTCCTTTTTCCAGTCCATCACATCGCTGCAGAAGAACAGCGCACGAGTGACCTCCCGCAAGGAGCTGCTCGAGGAGAAGTCCACGGGTGCTCGTAACGATTATATACTCAGCCTGGCGGCAGCCAACGCCCATCAGAATCGCTACTTTACCGTCGATCTGCAGACCACGATGACCACCATGGAGAATTATGTTTTTGAGCGAGTTGCCGAGTACCTGATGCTAATGGGGTAAGACAAACAGTCACTCCCCTGGCACAGAGTTATCAATTGATTTGATTTGATTACCCTTTTTAGACGCACAGAGCTGCTGACCTGCTCGGCCACGCAGAACAGTTTCGGGAAGATTCGTGACCAGGCGCAGCAGCTTTCGCGGGAATACAATCTGCAGTGCTGCTATCTGTTCTATCCGGTGCTGAAGCAGCATATTCAGTATGATTTTGAGGCTTGTGACAATGATCCGGTGAGAAAGGTGACCACGGAGCATGATTCGGCCACAGAGACGCTCACCAAGGAGGCCAAGAATCTGGCCGGACGGGTAGTCAAGGAGAATGCCTCGATAAGGGAGAACGCCAAGAAGCTGGCCCTCTGCCAGTCGCTGAGGGACTCGGGACAGCGATCCGATCCCAACGATCCTAATGGTCCCGATCTGGACACCAAGATCGAGGAGTTCCGTGATCAGATACGCCGCTCCGAGACCGAGAAGGCCAAGGCCGAGGCCTGTCTGCAGTGCCTGCGCGACGGCGGCATCAATGTGGACGAGTGGGTGCAGGAGGCAGAGATTATGGGCGTGCAGGAGCTAACGCGCTCGGCCAGCTCCATATCGATGCGCACCGATGCCTCTGGCCAGGGCGAGAATCCCAGCTCCGATTCCTTCTACGACAGCGACAAAGAGGAGGCGGCCGGCGGTGCTCCGGCCTTTGCTCAGGCAAAGCCCAAGGCGGAGACACAACTCTCCAGGGATCGCACGTTCAGCGACAGCGATGACGAGCCCGAGGAGCGTCCGGCAGCTACGGCTGCCGCGGCAGCTCCAGCAGCCGCAAAAGCAGCCAGCGCAGGCACTGGAGCCTGGGACGATCCAACTGAGGTGAATTGGGGTGGCGAGGAGGAGGAGGAGGACAAGGATGAACCAATTGTACCCGAGCCCAAGGAGGCCATCTTCAAGTGCACCGCACTCTACAGCTACACGGTGAGTGGTGAATCATCTGCGTGGAATAACTTTTAATTTTTGTATTCCATTGAAGGGCCAAAATCCCGATGAGCTGACAATTGTCGAGAACGAGCAGCTGGAGGTGGTCGGCGAGGGCGATGGCGATGGGTGGCTGCGTGCCCGCAACTATCGGGGCGAGGAGGGCTATGTGCCGCACAATTATCTGGACATTGATCAGGAGACGGCCGGCGGCGCTTTTAATGGTACTGGTTCCGCCAATCAATTGCGCTCTCAAATCTCATTCTCATCTGTCGATTACACCGTTGACAACGAAGATCAAACGGTGGACTCGATGCAATCCCCCGACCAGGTATCGGTCATAATGGCCCCCCAGAAGCGCCTCAAGTCCGACGTCGAATGGTGCATTGCGCTCTACGATTACGATGCCACCGCCGAGGATGAGCTGACCTTCGAGGAGGGCGACAAGATTAAGATCATCACCAAGACGGCCCACGGTGTCGACGATGGCTGGTGGGAGGGCGAGCTGGATGGCAAATTTGGCAACTTCCCCTCGCTGGTCGTCGAGGAGTGCGACGAGTTGGGCGAACCCCTCAGCGAGGGTGGCGATGAATCACCACCACCCATGGCAGCCCCGAACTTTGCGCTGCCCCCGGCACCAG